CTCAGTAGGCATTGTAATGGGCAGTCAGAAAGAGCAGCCGAGCTCCTCGATTAATATGCAGCAACTGGAGCCAAAGGATAGCATGTGCAAACCGACTGAGGATGTGCTCACTATTTCTATAACAACAGTAACTGATAATGTAGGCTTACCAAATGGGCTGCTGGAAAATGCGCCGCCCGTGCGTTCAATTACACCAAATCCGCAAATATGCGTTCAGGCTGAAGAGGCGCAGGAGGTGGATGTTGAAGAGGGCATGCCAAAGCTCCAGTCAAGGTCGGTATTCTACACTTAGTTTCTCTTATTACAATACGGCTTTGTTTATTGTGTTCCGGTTTTTATGTTGTTGCTAGCCTATCTATACTCTACTTGTACCCGAATCCATATATTAGTATTTGTGTTCTTTTGTAAATGTATATGTTATGTTACGCTTATTGCAGATATAGCTCTTAAGTTTATAAATATTATGTACGGTAACCTTTATATGTTCAATTTCACTCATATACGTAAAGTATTTATTATAAGCATATCAGAGCATGTATTATTAAATAGCGAAACCTTTGTGCCTGTTTTTTATACAATCGAAATGCTTAGAAAACGCTCAAATAATAAATCTATATGGCAAAAGTATTACCGCCTTTTTTTCTTTTTACGATATGTTTAATCCGTTTTTAGTTTTGGTGACAGTGAACTAAGCATTCCTCTGGCCCAGCCAGTCAACAGTGAAGCCAACAAGCTTAAACATCTTACTAGCCCACTCTCAAAGTTTGCCAAAGGAATGCAGAACATTGGTATGAATCTGGATCCACGCAGACTAACCACCAGGGTAAGTTGAAATTAACTTCTTTATATAAGCCTATATCTGATTGTCTCGATTGCTTGCAGACTGGCGCACACTCGCCCATCAGCGTATCGACAGATAACTTTCCTCCAGATCGCGGTCCAGGCACCCGTGATCTTTTGATGGAAATGTGGGCAGCTGAGAAATGCAAATCCAAGCTAATAGCTCTATGAAATGAAATGAATGGAAATAAACTTCAGCTACACCACGCAATTATTAATTAGTATAGTGATATAAAGAATTAATTATCTTACAAGTCATAGCGCAAAAAGTTTATTCTAGCTGTTTCACGTGGCACCTTTATTAAAAAGGAATTTATTTATTATATGTAGTCATATCTAGTCATGCGGCACGTACTTAATATGCATGTCCCTTGAAGTGTACACAATATTTGCAAAGATTGTGATTGTAACTGCAGTGCGTTAATTGACTTGTTTGTGTGTCTGTTATTAATTTATATACATTATGTGTTTACATACTGTATGTCATTTTTGTAAACACAAATGGTTTTATTCGTATGGTAGATAAAGAAAAGCAAAGTGTGTTATGTATGCGTTGGTCACAAAAAAACAATTTGAATAGCTTTAGGTTAAAATATTTTAAATACTTTTTTAATATTTATGTGCACTGATGTAGAAAAAGTACGTCAAGAAGATTGCTATGCCTTATAAAACTATTAGCCAATTGCTCATATTTAATTGTTAAACTAATTCGTGATGCAGAAAAACAAAAAAACGGCAAATAAACAGCAACAAAAAGACAAGACAAACAAAAGACTTGGCCATATGCGTAAATAATTTTTAATTTTACACTAAACACAAACACAAATTAATATTTGTTGCTGACAAGTGCGTATTTAAAATAAATACTACAAAATGTAGCAGTACCCGCTTAGAGATTAAAGACACTAACAATTTTCTGAAAACATAAAACAATTCGGGAATCTAACGAATACAGATAAATTATACATAGTACAATTATCCGAATATGATGAATTTTATTAACCATAGAAAGTTTTATGTAGCTTTATAATGTAATAATGTACACGTTTACGCCACCGAATACTTACATAAATATGTGCTAAATAGACCCTAATATATTTGAAACACATAGAAGCCACGAATTGCGTAAGACTTAGTTTTTCTCATTATACGCTTGGAGGAGGGTTTAATTATTTTTTTTAAGAATGTGTAAAACGTGTAAAATGATAACTTCGATCCCATATGATCCCACATGATATAGTCATGGACGTTTATCATTGCGTGGTTATGAAGCTATTTTGAATATAATTTTGAAATAGCAATGAAAATATAGTCTTCGGATAATGATACTGCAAAATTCATACACTTGCCGAATCGGGAACCTCGTTGTTCAATTGCTTGGTGAATATCTCCTTTTCTTCAAAAGAGACCCAAAATAATCTGATACTTTGGCATGGTTCAGTTAAAGTTATTTGGTTAAGATCAGTTGTTTTTGTCGTCGATTTGACCAGGATATTTAATGTTCGGCAACCGAAGATAACTGCGTGTTTTCTAACGCGTTCCCATCCAATTGGAACGAAACGTGTCAGTGCCAAGTGTTGTCCCATTGTGTGATGGCCCTTGTTTACATAAGTGATAAAAAATGGCAGACAAGCCACCACCAAAGCTGGCCACCAGAGCGTCGTTGCGTTGTGGAAATCAAAAATCCATTAAAATACCACGGAAACGGACCATATAACGCTGCCAATCAGCTTATGTATACATAAGTGTGTATGGCTCTATTGATATTGGAGTTTTATTTATGCGAACTTTACCCCGGCCAAGCTGGGCCACAAGCCAGCACCCAGCGAACTTTTGGCACGTCAGCTGATAAGAGCCACACGGTGCTGTTATTTTTTCTGTTTTGGCCAAGCGTCCAATATCATGCTAATGTTGCCACACAGTTGCATCAATTGTTTTTCAATCAAAGTGCCATCAATCTTTTTGAATGTTTGTTTAATTAACGCACAGGCCGCATTGGCTACCTAGCCCAATGGCAACACCCACAGCAGCAACAACAACTCGGCGTAAATAAGTATAGATTCGTTCATGCCAATCCATTTGACCCCCGGTCACGCTTGATTGCCGTGTATCCCTGTGCTGGACTCCGATGCAGTTGTGCCCCCTGCTTTCGTTTTCGCCCTGCTTTAGCTTGGCATTTTTCTTTCGCATTTCACTTCCTAACTTTGTCCATGTCTTTTGCGTCCATTAAGTGTGTCTGTGCTAAGACTTGGAAATTGTCTTTTGAATGTTTCAATTACACGCCTTCTTAAGCACAGCTTCTCTTCTCAAATTGAAGCAACGCTTGAGCCACCAGTTCCCTAGTTTTCAGTTGACGGGCGACTGGCTTGTCGTGACTTCAGTATTTTGGCTTTTATGCGCCAATAAAGTGAAATACACAGATATTCAATGAATTTACTGCCTTCAATCTATCGCATGTACGTACGTGTGTGTGTGTGTGTGTGTGTGTGTTAGGTTTCCCAGTACACTACCCTTAACATCTTTGCACCCGCCTGCCACTTTCGTTAAACACTTTTGCCTTAAACCATTAATTTCCTATACGTTCGACTTGCACATGTTGGTAGCCAGGACCCGGGTCTACGGAGAACTTAATTTTATTGCTAAAAGCGGGTTAAGTGCTCGACGCACAGCTGAGTGCCTCTATTATATAAAGCGCAGAGCCCACTGATGCTGTCTCTTTGATAGGAATCGAATTTGCTTTATGGCATGTATGCTAATTTTATGTCTAGTTAACATTCGCCTTGGGACTGGGAGCATTGTCGATGCCTTGGAGTACATTTACTTTGATTGACTTTTAATTTACATTTGAGCCCGATGGCAGATACTGTAGTTGGTATTGTGGGTCGAAAGTTAACAGCAGTATCTAACTAAATTATTTTATAGCATGCGAAAAATACGATTTAACTTCTGTTATTCTATATATAAAGAAATATAGCGACTATAAAGCTGCTTTTGAGTTATAACTGCCCGTAATTACTTATCAACTGTTCATGCTTAAGCTCTTCAGCGGTCTATTCCTCAGCTCTTGATAAATGCCCATTAAAATAAATGCATACAATTTGCGTAAAACTATAAATTTCAAGTATTTGCACAATGTGAATAAATGAATCGCAAGAACCGTAAAATCAAATGATGCATAAATAAAATCAATGCCAGCCGGCGTGCCAAACATGACCTAAAGGTCAAAGTGCGATATGTGTGCGTGATATACGAGGATGTATGTTTATGGCCACAGAGCAACCAGATTGACACTCGAAAGCAAATTAAATAGAAAATTGCGTTTTAGGAAAACTGAGCCAAAAATCGTTGTGAAATTTTATACATAATTGAATTTATGGTCAAAGCGTGGCACACACAAACACACGTCCAATCTGTGCATACAATTACCCAACATATAGACAGAGGAGGTCAGATCAGATCTGCGCTGTTCGGTGGGTGACTTGGCCCATTGGCCTGTGGCTGTTGCACCACACGCCAAACAATTGGAAACCGAATGTCATCTTCAATTTCAAATTCAATTATAAAACAAATTGGTTTGAGCGCAAATAAATACAGATATACACACACACGCACACACTGGGATATCCTTAATGTATATGTGTGGGGACTGGTCGAAACACTCGAGGCAACATCAAATGGCAAATCCATTCATCCACTTTGCAATTGTGTCCAGTCGCTCCAGTGAAATAAATGTAATGAAATGTTAACAAATGACAACAGGCTGGCAAACAAGTAGCAAAAACCGCAAGGGTGGCTCGCTTCTGCATCCATGCTGTCCGTCCAGCCAACGTACACACAAACGCGCGCACACACACACACTCTCCACGTATCGAATTAGTTTGATGAGATTTATTGGCTCAAGTCCCACTTGACCAACAGCAGCGCCTGGCCAGACAATTATGGATTAGTACCATTTGTTTTTGGTTGGCTAAGTGACTGGTCGGACTCTGGAACGTCACAGTCACATGGTCATGGGCGAATCATGTGGATGATGATGATGCTAATGTCAATTCTATGGCATTATATGGCACCGATTTTCATTGCCTTTGGTTCAGATTCTCTCTATTACCTAAACGTATCGAATTACCATGCGGGCAAATCAAATCCAAACCTACGACCAGACCGAAACCCAAGCCAACTCCTGGCCAGTTCAGCCCACGCACGTTGCTTGTCAACGCCAGCCCTTTGCAGGTCCTTTGGGGAAATTTGTCAGAGCATCAGTAGCGTTAAGGTGCCAATTAAGGGCTTTTTAGTATCAATTACAAAATCGCACGTTTCCACACCTTTATCAAGCTTGAAGATGTGAGTCCATGTGTATGTGTTAGTGTGTGTGTGTGTGGTTGGGTACGTATGAGTGCTTATGTGTGTGCATATGTACGGGGTTGGAGTCCTCCTCTTGTATTACGTGGTCGCTGTGACATACTGGTCAGCATTTGGTTGGGGTTGGCGCTGTGGTTCTGGGGCATCTTTTGTGAAATTGTTTTCTGTCATTGTTTTTATTTTTGCTCCCTTCTGTTTTGTCCTCTTTTGACACTCCGCATTTGACAGCGTCATTTTGCCAGTGATTTATTGTCTCGATGCCGATAAATAGGGTTTGCCATTAAACTTGTTAGATTCCTGGAACCATAATCGAGAGATAAAATTACCCTCGATTTAGATTTATATTCCATGGAAGTGTTTAACTCAAACGAGAGATGGGTTTCTAATAAGACAATTAACAGCTTTTAAATATAATTGTTAGTTAATGCTAAGAAATGAACATAGTATAATCAACAGAAATCAGAATATCTTCCATATTTTTGCAACAGATAAGAAGAATATGTCCCGCATATAATTTTGTAAGAAAACATTTATAAGCTCTGCAAGAGCTGTATTAATAAATATTGATAATTAACACTTCTTTACGGAGTATTTATATAAAAATAACTATAGAATTGGCTCGATTTCCGATGACGATAAAATGGGAAGAACAGGAATAACAATGACGGATCTCTTCTGGAACCATCTAAGGAAACACAAAAAATATAAATCAGAAAAATTCGTGATGCATGTGCACATCTTTATTAAACTTTTTATTAAGCCTTTCAACTTCATTCAACTCTTGCTTGTATTTAATAAATTGTCGAGTTTAATAAATGTCGCGGCAGCGCGTGTAGCTCTGCCTCTGACATAGGTAATTCGCCTTTTGAGTGCACACCCAGTTGTTCATTTGGAAGGCAGAATCCTTGCGCCATAAATGTATACAATGCTCAATGCCGGGATAATCAGGCTGATGAATGGACCAAGATGTAAATGCCAATGGCAATCCGTTAGTTAAGGACATGAATTTATGATTTGTGATAAAATCGTTGCCCGATATCCAAATTCTTGCATTATTATCATAGCCCTCTTTCAGTAGATAGTTTGAAATCGCATTCATCTCTTCAGCCGATTCAATTAGGGCCAAATCTCCACCAAATTTACGGCAAATGTGTACTGATTCGAACCAGCTAACCTTTTCTGATTTTTCAATGAAGTAGTACTTCTCACCAATCCTAATGTACATCTGAGCCTCGGCATTCTCACAGACAACTAATTACTTGGAAAAATAAGAATTAATTCTCTTACGAACTTATTTAATATATTACCTTCAATATTATTTTTTTTGGGATAGTTGAAGTCAAATGCCAGAGCACTGCACAGGCAGACTGCAAAAACAGAGTATACAAAATATCTCATTGTAGAACGCTTATTGAGTGACGAGTCAACTTTACCATTAAGGTAGGACTGTCAGTGGGTTTTTATAGCGACTCAACACAATAGCGAATATTTAAAATAACATGTACCATGTGTTTAGTTCAATGTCTTCATTGGCTCTGTACTTTTTATCTTATCATGAAGAATGCAATTAAAGAAAGACATTGCATTTAAGGTATGCTGTAAATAATTAGTGATTAAAACTCACGAACGAATCTTCAAACCCCAAATTTTAATGTTTGCCATTCGAACATTATAAAATGTTCCAGATACTATATCTTATTTATTAAAGATAAGTGTACCGTAGGTGTTATTTAAAGTTTATAAATTGAAAACGATCTTGTTTTTAATTTGTTGTATGTTTGTTAAACATTTTTATACCCTGAACCCATTAAAAATGGGTATAAGGGTATATTGTATTTGTGCGAAAGCCAAATTTATGTTATAGGCAGAAGGAAGCAACTCCGACCCCATAAAGTATATATATTCTTGATCAGCATAAATAGCTGAGTCGATCTAGCCATGTCCGTCTGTCTGTCCGTCCGTCCGTCCGTCCGTCCGTATGTATGAACGCAAGGATCCCAGAACCTATAACAGCTTGAGACTTGAAATTTTAGACGTAGATGCTCCTAGCTCCCGTGCAGATCGAGTTTGTTTCCGATAATCGATAACTTACTCCGTTTCTAAGCAATCGATAAAAATCGATATCGATTTCCTGTTTTTGGGCAATTTTGGTAAATAATAAGAACTAGAGTCACAAAAGTTGACGAATCTTGGGGTAAGATTTGGACATGAATTTCGACTAAAAATCGGTGTCGAGATTTGAAGGCCACATTAATCTAGAGGGAAAACCATGAAGAAAAAACCAAACTTCGTGAAAATCGGATGAGATTTGACCGAGTTATGTCGTTTTTGGGGCTTGGAGATATGTCGTTTCAAAACGACATAATCTCGCCATGATCAACGGCGGAGTTTCAAAACGACATAATCTCGCCATGATCAACGGCGGAGTTATGTCGTTTTGAAACGACATATACGAATCTTGGGGTAAGATTTGGACATGAATTTCGACTAAAAAATCGGTGTTCAGATTTGAATGCCAGATTAATCTAGAGGGAAAGCCATGAAGAAAAAGTCAAACTTCGTGTAAATCGGATGAGATTTGACCGAGTTATGGGGGTGGTAATTTTTGACCCATGTCTATATACGAATCTTGGGGTAAGATTTGGACATGCATTTCGACCAAAAAATCGGTGTCGAGATTTGAAGGCCACATTAATCTAGAGGGAAAACCATGAAGAAAAAGCCAAACTTCGTGTAAATCGGATGAGATTTGGCCGAGATATGGGGGTGGTAATTTTTGACCCATGTCTATATACGAATCTTGGGGTAAGATTTGGACATGAATTTCGACCAAAAAATGGGTGTCGAGATTTGAATGTCAGATTAATCTAGAGGTAAAACCATGAAGTAAAAGCCAAACTTCGTGAAAATCGGATGAGATTTGACCGAGTTATGTCGTTTTTGGGGCTTGGAGATATGTCGTTTCAAAACGACATAATCTCGCCATGATCAACGGCGGAGTTTCAAAACGACATAATCTCGCCATGATCAACGGCGGAGTTATGTCGTTTTGAAACGACATATACGAATCTTGGGGTAAGATTTGGACATGAATTTCGACTAAAAAATCGGTGTTCAGATTTGTAGGCCACATTAATCTAGAGGGAAAGCCATGAAGAAAAAGCCAAACTTCGTGTAAATCGGATGAGATTTGACCGAGCTATGGGGGTGGTAATTTTTGACCCATGTCTATATACGAATACAGGGTAAGATTTGGACATGAATTTCGACTAAAAATCGGTGCTCAGATTTGAATGCCAGATTAATCTAGAGGGAAAGCCATGAAGAAAAAGCCAAACTTCGTGTAAATCGGATGAGATTTGACCGAGCTATGGGGGTGGTAATTTTTGACCCATGTCTATATACGAATACAGGGTAAGATTTGGACATGAATTTCGACCAAAAAATCGGTGTCGAGATTTGAATGCCAGAATAATCTAGAGGTAAAACCATAAAGTAAAAGCCAAACTTCGTGAAAATCGGATGAGATTTGACCGAGTTATGTCGTTTTTGGGGCTTGGAGATATGTCGTTTCAAAACGACATAACTCCGCCGTTGATCATGGCGAGATTATATCTTGGGGTAAGATTTGGACATGAATTTCGACTAAAAATCGGTGTTCAGATTTGAATGCCAGATTAATCTAGAAGAAAAAGCCAAACTTCGTGTAAATCGGATGAGATTTGACCGAGTTATGGGGGTGGTAATTTTTGACCCATGTCTATATACGAATACGGGGTAAGATTTGGACATGAATTTCGACCAAAAAATCGGTGTCGAGATTTGAATGCCAGATTAATCTAGAGGTAAAACCATGAAGTAAAAGCCAAACTTCGTGAAAATCGGATGAGATTTGACCGAGTTATGTCGTTTTTGGGGCTTGGAGATATGTCGTTTCAAAACGACATAACTCCCCCGTTGATCATGGCGAGATTATATCTTGGGGTAAGATTTGGACATGAATTTCGACTAAAAATCGGTGTTCAGATTTGAATGCCAGATTAATCTAGAAGAAAAAGCCAAACTTCGTGTAAATCGGATGAGATTTGACCGAGTTATGGGGGTGGTAATTTTTAACCCATGTCTATATACGAATACGGGGTAAGATTTGGACATGAATTTCGACCAAAAAATCGGTGTCGAGATTTGAATGACAGATTAATCAAGAGGTAAAACCATGAAGTAAAAGCCAAACTTCGTGAAAAACGACATAACTCCCCCGTTGATCATGGCGAGACTATGTCGTTTTGAAGCGACATATCTCCAAGCCCCAAAAACGACATATATCCGCGCGGAGATATGTCGTTTCAAAACGACATAACTCCGCCGTTGATCATGGCGATATTATGTCGTTTTGAAACGACACATACGAATCTTGGGGTAAGATTTGGACATGAATTTCGACTAAAAATCGGTGTTCAGATTTGAATGCCAGATTAATCTAGAGGGAAAGCCATGAAGAAAAAGCCAAACTTCGGGTAAATCGGATAAGATTTGACCGAGTTATGGGGGTGGTAATTTTTGACCCATGTCTATATACGAATACGGGGTAAGATTTGGACATGAATTTCGACCAAAAAATCGGTGTCGAGATTTGAATGCCAGATTAATCTAGAGGTAAAACCATGAAGTAAAAGCCAAACTTCGTGAAAATCGGATGAGATTTGACCGAGTTATGTCGTTTTTGGGGCTTGGAGATATGTCGTTTCAAAACGACATAACTCCGCCGTTGATCATGGCGAGATTATATCTTGGGGTAAGATTTGGACATGAATTTCGACTAAAAATCGGTGTTCAGATTTGAATGCCAGATTAATCTAGAGGGAAAGCCATGAAGAAAAAGCCAAACTTCGTGTAAATCGGATGAGATTTGACCGAGTTATGGGAGTGGTAATTTTTGACCCATGTCTATATACGAATACGGGGTAAGATTTGGACATGAATTTCGACCAAAAAATCGGTGTCGAGATTTGAATGCCAGATTAATCTAGAGGTAAAACCATGAAGTAAAAGCCAAACTTCGTGAAAATCGGATGAGATTTGACCGAGTTATGTCGTTTTTGGGGCTTGGAGATATGTCGTTTCAAAACGACATAACTCCGCCGTTGATCATGGCGAGATTATATCTTGGGGTAAGATTTGCACATGAATTTCGACTAAAAATCGGTGTTCAGATTTGAATGCCAGATTAATCTAGAGGGAAAGCCATGAAGAAAAAGCCAAACTTCGTGTAAATCGGATGAGATTTGACCGAGCTATGGGGGTGGTAATTTTTGACCCATGTCTATATACGAATACAGGGTAAGATTTGGACATGAATTTCGACCAAAAAATCGGTGTCGAGATTTGAATGCCAGATTAATCTAGAGGTAAAACCATAAAGTAAAAGCCAAACTTCGTGAAAATCGGATGAGATTTGACCGAGTTATGTCGTTTTTGGGGCTTGGAGATATGTCGTTTCAAAACGACATAACTCCGCCGTTGATCATGGCGAGATTATATCTTGGGGTAAGATTTGGACATGAATTTCGACTAAAAATCGGTGTTCAGATTTGAATGCCAGATTAATCTAGAAGAAAAAGCCAAACTTCGTGTAAATCGGATGAGATTTGACCGAGTTATGGGGGTGGTAATTTTTGACCCATGTCTATATACGAATACGGGGTAAGATTTGGACATGAATTTCGACCAAAAAATCGGTGTCGAGATTTGAATGCCAGATTAATCTAGAGGTAAAACCATGAAGTAAAAGCCAAACTTCGTGAAAATCGGATGAGATTTGACCGAGTTATGTCGTTTTTGGGGCTTGGAGATATGT